TGTTGTACAAAGGGTTGCTATGAGTTGCAAATCACAACAACCTTCATGTAAGGTACTTGGAGGTATCATCGAGTGTATCATGTAAACAGGAAGAGAAAACAGGAAAGTTTGTGATCATAGCAAACATAACAGTATCCACCTAATCAGGCCATGGTCTTTTTAGTTGTTTCTTATCCACCTGAAAGTTGGACAGTAAATAAAGATGACAGAAGAAGACTTGATGCCTCTGAATGGTGGTGTTGGAAGGGAGTACTGAATATCTCATGGACTGTCAAAGGAACAGACAAATCTGTCTTGGAGGAAGTGCAACTGGGGTTCTCCTTAGAGGCAAGGACGGTGTTAGGAGATGCCTGTCCTTTGTAAAGGACATCATCATGCTGTGGAAAGTAGGTCATAGTAAGAGAGGAAGATAGATTGACAGAGTGATAGAACAGTATATATAGGAGATGATGGTCACAGGATAGGGCAGGGTTCAGATCTGTTGTTCAAAGAGTTGCTGTGAGTGGTAGTTGACTTGATGGCCCCTCACAACAAAAGCAACATTTGCTGATGCAAACTATGGGATTATTTTGTATTTTGTAGATAGGTAAAATAAAAGGTGCAAACTTTGAAAAGTTTGGTTTTTGGTTTGTTTTTCTTGTCAATACAAGATGGGTTGTGAGTTAGGAGGGAAAAATGTATAAATACACACATATGCATACACATACACGTGTGGGTGTAGGTGTGGGTATATACACACACACACACACACATACACATATATATGTATGTATAGATGTGTTTCATAACAAAAGCAACAACATTTCTGATGAAAATTATAGTATAATTTTTTGCCAGGTAAATTGGAGGACAGTGACGTGACCAACAGGCAGGAAGAGATACTATTTGTTCCTATTTCCAAGAAAAGTGATCTAACAGAATGTGGAAATTATCAAACAATATCATTCATATCACATGCAAGAAAAATATTGCTGAAGATCATCCAAAAATAACTAGAATGTTACGTAGACAGAGGCCTGACAAAAGTTCAGGCTGGATTTAGAACTATCATTGCTGATGTCAGATGGATCTTGGGACAGCAAAGAATACCAGAAGAATGTTGTGTTTTATTGACTTTTTAAAAAAAATTATTATTAAATTTTATTCGTTTTAATGAACATTTACAGAGATTTTGGGTTCTTGTTCATTCATTGTTGCACTGTTTTCTCTACCCTCCTCCCCAGTTCGTTCTTCTTCTCCCCCCCGAATGTCTGTTTTAGTTGTCCAATTGCCACAGTGCTTGTCAAAGCCAGTTCTGATTATCTCCTTTGTCAGTGTGTCCTTTGCCATTCCCTATCACTCCTCCCTGAGAGAGACTTCACTCTGATTCATAAGGAAAAGGGGATGGTGTATTCTCTTAGCTACTTCCTGCTGAAAAGGGATGCTGTGGGTTTCAGGGTGAAGATCTTCTCTCACTACTCTAAAGGGCCCCTTTGGCAGTAGGAAACACATAGACTATTATGGAGATTGATTTTGGAATTTAGATGCACTGTTATTAATTGTGCTTAGCCATACATGTTCATATCCTTGAAGATGTATCACGGAGGTGTTGCAACCTAGAAGACAAATTTAACAAGTTAAAAGTACATGAGTCAAAAATTAACAAGCAATAATATTCCGAGTAGAGGTTCTCGTAGTGGCGCAAACCAAGTTACAGAGGGAAGCTAGTTCTTACAATAAAAGGCCTATAGACTAGCACTTTGTCTATTATAGTGTACAGGTTAGGAACCACAAGATGTAGAGGCTCAGCTATGTCATTTATGGTTCTTAAGTCCTGGAGCAAATTCCATCTACCACTGGGCTGTTTTACAACTCGGAAGTTCGCATGCAAGGTAAAGGTGAAGCAAGGAACTGCTTATGAGGCTTTCCGTCCGTTCCAACAACTAAGAGATAGAAGAGTTGGGACCTCAGAAGGCTTTTAGGACCAATTAGTAGGCTCTGTGTCCAGGACAAAATGAATATACTTACCAGTAATGTTAATACTCATCCACGGCTCTTCTGGGAGGATCTAAATTGTTGAAGTGTCCTCCTTTGTTTCCAGCTGGGAGCTGGGGCCTGTAAGTCCTGTCTGCCACGAGGACCTGATGTGGGCCACCTTGGCCAAGTGTCCTTCAGAGCCACACTTAAAGCAAGTGAGGGGAACGTCCTCTCTACTCCCTTGCCTATCTGTGGCTCTCGTCTGTGACACTGTCTTTATTGACTATTTTAAAGGCATCTGACTACGTGGATCATAAGAAACTATGGTTAACATTAAGAAGAATGGGAATTACAGAACACTTACTGTGTTCATGCTGTATCTATACCTAGACTAAGAAGCTGTTGTCCGAATAGAGTAAGTGAACACTGCATGGTTTAAAAGCAGGAAGATGTGCATCAGGGCTATATCTTTTTTTTAAATTTTTATTCTTAGTCTGTATGCTGAGCACATTATTAGAAAAGTTGGACTTTATGAAGAGAATGTGGCATCAGGATGGAGGTAGACTTATCAATAACCTGTGTTATTCAGATGACACAACCTTACTTGCTGAAAGTAAGGAGGACCTGAGCGCTTGCTGCAGAAAATCAAGGACTACAGCCTTCAGTATGATCTCAGCATAAAAAAAACCCCAAAAGTTCTCACCACTATGCATCATTATAGAGAAAAGATTGAAATTGTAAACTTTTCCATCTTACTTGAATCCACAATTAATGTCTTTACTACCAGCAGTCAGGTGGTCAGGATACATATAGTATTGTGAAAGTTTGATATTAGGGATCTTTCTAAAGTCCTGAAGGGCAGCAATGTCAGTTTAAAGACTAAGGTGCACCTGATTCGAGCCCCAGTGTTTCTAATCACTTTGCTATGCATCTGAGAGCTGGACCGTGCATAAGGGTGACAGGGAAGAACTGATGCATTTGAGTTGTAGTGTTGAATAAGAGTGCTGACTGTCCCATGGATTGCCAAAAGAACAAACATATGTCTCGGAATAAGTGCAACCAGGGTGCTCCTTAGAGGCAAGGATGGTGACATTTCATCTCACGTACTTTGGACTTGTTGTTAGGAGTGGGGCATCATACTTGGAAAGGTCGAGAGTCAGTGACGGCTAGGAAGACCCTCCATAAGCTATATTGACACAGTGTCTGTGGCAATAAGCTCGCATGTGTTGGGGGTGATAAGGATGGAGCGGGATAGGACAGAATTCAGATCTGTTATTCATAGTGTCTCTGTGAGTCATGCTTCACTTGATAGACTTCACAACAACAAGATATAAAAGATGACCAAGACATCATCCATGAAGAAAGCAGAAGGTTTTGCAAAGGCAAAGAAGAGAGAACACACATGAATGGATGTCAGAAGACTCTTGGAAACTTGTAGTTGCATGAAAGCCAGAACAGAGGCGGGAAATGCTTAAGTAAGAAAACTGAACAGAAGATTCTGAAGTACTGCATAAAAATACAAAGGAAAGTGTTACAGTGAAATGTTTGAGGAGCTAGAGTTAGAAAACCAAAAAGGAGGAACCTGCTTGGCATTTCTCAAGTTGAAAGAACTGAAGAACAAATTCAAACCTCGAGTTTCAACACTGTAGGATTCTATAGGCAAAATCTTGAATGATGCAATAAGCATCAAAATAAGATAGAAAATACAGAGTTACTGTACTGAATTAATTTCAAGAGTAGCATATGATCAAAACCCAGTATTACTGAAGGAAGAAAGTTGCTCTAAAGGTATTGGGGGCGGGAAGGGCTCCAAGTATAGTTGGGATTCTAGTTGAGGTTCCTTGGGGAACAATTGCAACTTTGCACATGTTTACCAGTCTCTGTCAACAAATATGGAAGATGGCTAGATAGCTACCTGGCCAGCCAGCTAGAAGAGAGCCATATTCATTCCCATTCCAAAAAAAGGTGATTCAGTAGGATGTGGAATTATTGAACAATATCATTAATATTACCTGCAAATAAAATCTTAAAGAGTATTTAGAAACTTTTAAGATTATTATTAAACACTGGAAGAGTACAATAACAGGCCAGAAAATTCAAGCTGGATTAGAAGAAACCATAGAATAAGGAATATCATTGCTGTTGTCAGGTAGATCATGGCTGAAAAGAGAATGCCAAAAGACATTTACTGTGTTTCATTGATTTTGCAAAGGCATTTGACTGTATGGATCATATATATTATAGCTAACGTTGAGAAGAGTGGGAATCCCAGGACACTTTATTATGATCATGCAAAAAGTATACATAGAACAAAAAACAATTGTCCAAACAGAACATGAGAACATTGCATGATTTAAAATCAGAAAAGATACCATGGTTAGATTTTTTCTTACCTATTCAACTGAGCAGATCATTCCAGACACTGGACTGTATGAAGAGGAATGTGGCTTCAGGATTGGAGGAAGACTCCTCAACAACTCACATTATGTAGATAAGGCAGTCTTAGTTGCTGAAAGTAAAGAAGATTTGTAACACTTGCTGCAGAAAATCAAAGATCACAGCCTTCAATATGGATTAAATCTCAGCCTCAAGGAATCAAAAATCCTTACCTCTGGTAGATGGAGAAAAGGATTGAAGTTTACAGATGAAGCTGTACCTAATGCAAGTCATGATATTTTCATTTGCTTCTTAGACATCTTAAATTTGGGCAACGAATTAAGTAGAGTGAAAAGGAAACAGGTTTTTTTTTTCCTTAAGAAACAATATCTTTGAATTGTGGTGTTGGCAAATATTTTGAATACTCCATGAACTGCTGAAAAAAAAAAACAACAAATCTGCCTTGGTGGAATTGCAGCTAGGATGCTCCTTAGAAGATGGTGAAACTTTATGGCACTTACTTTGGGCATTTTTTTAGGAATGGCCAGTCTGTGGAAAAAAGTAAAAAAAAAAAAAAAAAGAGAAGACCATGCTGGGAAAGATTAAAGATCAGCAAAAGATTAAGAGAGATGCAAATCAAAACAACTATGAGAATCATCTCACCCCAGTCAGAATTGTAAAATTTAACAGAACAGCAAGCAACAAATGCTGTGAGGTTGTGGAGAAACTGGAACCCTTATTCACTGTTGGTGGGAGTGTAAAATGATGGACCCACTGTGGAAGGTGGTATGGTGCTTACTCATAAAGTTGCAAATAGAGATACCATTTTACCCAGCAATTCCACTACTGGGAATATATGCCAAAGAGACCATAACTGACATCCAAGCAGGTATATACACACCCATGTTTATTGTGTCTTTGTTCACAATAGCAAGGCGTTGGACAGAGAAGCTGTGGTATATTCACACAATGGAATACTATGCTGCCTTGAAAAACAAGGAACTCATGCAATATTATTCAAAGTGGGTGACCCTTGAGGACATTATGCTGAGTGAAGTATCTCAGTCACAAAAGGACAAATACTGCATGGTGCCACTGTTGTAAAGCAGTACTGACGTTGGGGTTGGGAGGAGACTGAGAAGGATGGGTTAAATAATGTATACTGCATTGAAACAGATGAGGGAGAAAACTGTTTAAGAGGGAAAATTATTAGGTATTTTTGTCATGACAGGGTTCTAGAGCGAAGACTTTATAGTGGAGTGCACATGGGGGGAGGGATTGTAAAACAAAGAATTTTTCTTTTACTTTTCCAAGAGGTAGTGTACTAGGGGTGAGGGTTGGGAGGGGAGAAAAGTGCAACAATGAAAGAATGGAAATGCAAAAAAAAAAATCTTGGCAATAGCTTTCAGTTTAATAAAGTAACTTTTGAAACTTTAAAAAAAAAAAAGGTCAGCAAAAGAGATGGATTGATACGGTGACTGTACCAGTGGGCTTGTAGGAGACTGTCATTTGCACAGGCAAGGGGAAGGTTTTGATCTGTTCTTAGGGGCTCTGAGAGTGGTAGTTGACTTGATGGCATCTGCAAGCAGCAACGGCAGTAATGGGGATGTTGAAGAAACTTCCTGAAGTAGCTATTTGGCCAATCTGAAAGTTAAGAGAAAAACACAAGTTTTTAAAGATGATATCTGGACTTGTCCAGCTTAAAATGCAGGGAAGCAGCTAATGTTATATACGCTGGCTTCAAAAACTTAAAGTAGAACTTAGCATGTCTCAGTGTGATTGATGTTAACTATTTTCATCACTTATTTTTGTCAAATATATCAGGAGAGCGCTGTTTACAAGGAAGCAACTATGAGAAGTTCAAATAAAGGTGAATTATGAGAACAGAGCTTTTTAGCATACTGCCAATATATGTCAATTAATGTTAATTCCCAACAATAGGGCTTAAAAGATCTCCACATCTATTCTTTCCCTTCCAGTAGCTCTTTATTGCTTAGTAGAGGGATAGGATTAGGGCACTTTACCCCAAAATATGGAGCTCTTCTCTTATTTCTAGAGCTCTAAGAAAATGAATTATGACTGTTTGAGCAATGGAAATGCATATTTAGGGGGAGAAGGTTCTTTATCATTCTATAAATGCTACCTCTAGTGATTTTTAAGTAAACTTTTCCCATTAATATAATTTCATTAATTTAGACTAACCTTTTTAAAAAATTTTAATTTATTAATTTTAATCAACATTGACAGAGATTTTGAGTCTCCATTCATTCATTGTTGCCCTTTTCTCCCTGCCTCCCCCCCCCCCCCCCAGTTCGTTTCTCTCTCCAAAAAGCAAAAGAAAAATTCTTTCATTGGTACACAATTCCCCCTGGGCCCCCACCCACCGCCCCAAGTACACTCCACTATGCAACCTCAATTCTGGACTTTTGTGATAACCATAACACCCTATCATATATTGCCTTTAAATTGTTCTTTCCCTCATCTGTTTCAATGCAGTATACATAATTTATCCAGTTTTTCTGTCTTACCCCAACCCCAATGTCAGTCCCATTCTACAACAGTGGCACCATGCAATATTTGTCCTTTTGTGACTGGGATATTTCACTCAGCATAATGTCCTCCAGGGTCACCAATTTTGAATAATATTGCATTAATTCCTTGTTTTTCAAGGCAGCATAGTATTCCATTGTGTGAACATACCACAGCTTCTCTATCCATTGCGTTGTTTCCAACTCCTTGGCTATTGTGAACAAAGCTGCGATAAACTAACCTTTTAAAAAATATTTTTAAAAATTTACTTAAGAAGGAAGCATGGGGAGCGCTAATGGCCTAGTGGCAAGAAGCTGCACAGCAATCCTGAAGGTGCATGGTTCAAAATCCTGCAGATGCTCTGCTGGAGAAGGAGGAACAATCTTCTGTGGAGAAGGAGGAGCAATCTCCTTTGTCAGTGGGATACAAGTGGACAATACACTACAAGGAAAAAAAAGAAAAAGGAAACTTGTTGATCTTTTGAATGTAGAGGAACCTATGTTTCTAAATTATCTTGGATTTTCATGTGTATGATGGTGGTGAATTTCTTTGAGCTAGCATTCCCTACTGTCTAAATTACAGTTCAGGAAAGGCAGCAAGCTGCTCTTTATGGCACCGGGTTTTCCTCAGTGTGTATTCCTTCTTCCTCTTTGTGTTGTCTGACACATGTGCAGGAGATGAACCCACTTGAGTGCATGTTTGCTGTGAGTGATGGTCTCAATGTAATTGTTACTTTTGGTGCATTGAGGGACATAATATATATTGGCTGATGAGTTTACATTCTAAAGAGAAGCCTAAGAAATGGAAAAGCATAATTTCTAACAAAAAGTGTTGTTTTTCCAAATACTTTGGACAGAGTGAAAGTGAAAAGAAAGTGACTTTACATGAAAATGAGCAAGCACAGCCTCCTTCCCAAAAAGAGGAAGTGTCCCTGTCTCTGCAGCTCCAGGAGAAAGAGCATCACATTCAGCAGGTATGTGCAGATGTGCTGCTTCTTCATTGATTTTGACGATATGGATGTGTCTTACACTATTTCTAGAGATAGTCCCAAGATGCCTCAGAGTTGTAAGTATGATAAGTCTCTGCCAAAGATGTAGTAGTCCAGCGACCTTTTCCTCTGACTTCCTCTTGCATGTTCACTGGATTCAGACTGAGCATAAAATAATTGTGAGTGGGTTTTAGGTACCGTGCTGTCAGCACATGTAACATTTTTCCTTTTCTTTAACTTGGCCATTTCTGTTGCACACATGCCTCAGTTACGCTGAAAGCCTGTAGAGAGGGTTTGCAGCTACTGAGTGGCAGAGGTAGATATGTCTGGCGTTAAACATTGCACCTGAGTGTGGCTGAACTAATATGATAGGTTATGAAACTTACAGTTCCAGTGGTCAAGGAAGTGTGTGTTTATAGCAGTCAGTACTTACCACCGTCTCTTAATTGGGATCCAAGGGGCACATGCAAGAAGGAAAATGAAAGGAAGCTGCGAAGTGAATAGGATAAATGTCAGGACTGAAGGAAATACCAGCCTACTCTAACGTGATTGCGATCTCGTGAAGGAGAGGATCCTATCATGGTGTTATGTGAACTTTTTCTTCAAAGTACCTATGTTTCTGATAGAGATAATATATAAAATCCTGAAGAGCTTCTTAGTCTTTAAAATCACATAGTAAATGTAACAAGTCATGGACAAAATAAAGTTAGAAGTACACTATTCAAAGGGTGGCTTGGTGGCCTAATTTATAATGAGTTACCCTCTTGACCCCAAGACTCACAGTCTGTTTGATGGTTCAGATCCTTCAAAAAGAAGTGGGCAGTCTCCTCACTTTATGATTTACAACCTCAGAAGCCTGGGAGAGAAACTGTGAGTTGGAACTGACTTGATGGCAGTGAGTTTTCATTTTTGGAGTTTGACTCCATTTGAAAAACTTGCAGCTTTGCCATACAAGTCTCAGTAAAAATAATAAGCACTGTTATGGCAGTAATAGCATAGTTAAAACTAAATACTAAATTTCCAATTTCTGAAAGAAATGTTGGTTTTTAAATGGAATTATGATCCTTTAACTGTGAACCATAACAAATTATGGCTAACACTGAAAAGAATAGAAATCCCAGAATACTTAATTGTGCTAATGTGAAACCTGTATCTAGACCAAGAGGCTGTTGTGTGAACAGAGCAAGGGAACACTGCATGATTTAACAATAAGAAGAGTGTGCATTCAAATCAAAACAACTATGAGATATCATCTGACCCCAGTAAGAAGAGCAAAATTTAACCGAACAGCAAACAACAAATGCTGGCGAGGTTGTGGAAAAACTGGAACCCTTATTCACTGTTGGTGGGAGTGTAAAATGGTGCAACCACTATGGAAGGCAGTATGGTGCTTTCTCAAAAAGTTGTAAATAGAAATAGCATTTTACCCAGCAATTCCACTACTGGGAATATACCCTAAAGAAACTATAACTGCCACCCAAGCAGATATATGCACACCTGTGTTTATTGCAGCTTTGTCCACAAAAGCAAAGGGCTGGAAACAACCCAAGTGCCCATCAACAAATGAATGGATAGAGAAGCTGTGGTATATTCACACAATGGAATACCATGATGCATTAAAAAATAAGGAACTCATGAAATATTATGGAGAATGGATGACCCTGGAGGACATTATGCGGAGTGAAATATCTCAATCACAAAAGGACAACTGCTAAGCGCCACTGTTGTAAAGCAGAGTGACATCGGAGTTGGGGGAAAACTAAGGATAAATAATGTATACATTATTTATGTAATTATTAATGTATGCATTGAAACAGATGAGGGAGAGAACTGTTTAGGAGGATTATATGACTATATATTTTTTTTATTAAATTTTATTAGTTTTAATGAACATTTACAGAGATTTTGGGTTTTCATTCATTCATTGTTGCACTGTTTTCTCCACCCTCATCCCCAGTTCATTCTTCTTCCCCCCCATGTCTGTTTTAATTGTCCAATTGCCACAGTGCTTGTCAAAGCCAGTTCTGATTAATCTCCTTTGTCAGTGTGTCCCTTGCCATTCCCTATCACTCCTCCCTGAGAGAGACTTCACCCTGATTCATAAGGAAAAGGGGATGGTATATTCTCTTAGCTACTTCCTGCTGAAAAGGGACGCTGTGGGTTTCAGGGTGAATGTCTTCTCTCACTACTCCAAAGGGCCCCCTTGGCAGTAGGAAACACATAGCCTATTATGGAGATTGATTTTGGAATTTAGATGCACTGTTATCAGTTGTGCTTAGCCGTACATGTTCATATCCTTGAAGATGTATCATGGAAGTGTTGCAGCCTAGAAGATACAAATTTAACTAACAAGTTAAAAGTGCATGAGTCAAAAATTGAAAAGCAATAATACTCTGAGTAGAGGTTCTAATAGTGGCACAAATCAAGTTACAGAGGTAAGGTGGTTCCGTTGCCATCCTTACTCTAACTTCATTCTTTTTTTTTAACTTAAATTTGTTATTCATTTCAGTGAAAATGTACAGAGGCTTTGGATTTCCATTCATTCATTGTTGTAGATTTGTCCCCTCCCAAGGCTCCCCCCCACCAGACATTACCCTCTTGGAAAAGTAAAAGAAAAGATTCTTTCATTATTTTACAAACCCTCCCCCAAGTCCACTCCACCATGTAGCCATCGCTCTAGACTCCTGTCATGACCGAAATACCTAATCACATATCTCTTTTAAACATGACTATGTATTATTGTCATTACAAGTGTCCAGAATGAAAGCTGAATAGTGGAGTGGACGGGGTTGGGCGGGGATTGTATAGCAAAGAAATACTTTTTTTTTCCACTTTTCAAAGAAGAAAGCGAACTGGGGGCAGGGGTAAGCAGGAAAGAAATTGTGCAACTATGAATGAATGGAAATCCAAAGTCTCTTTAAACTTTAAAATAAATTCTTTTTAAAAAGAGGGGGGGAAAAGAAAGGTATGCTTCAGGGTTATATCTTTTCACTGTATTTGTTCAATCTGTATGTTGAGCAAATTGAGAAACTGGATTCTGTGAAGAAAAATGTGACATCAGTATCGGAGTGAGACTCTTCAATAACCTTCAATATGCAAATGACACCAACCTTGCTTGCTGAAAGTGAGGAGGACTTGAAACACTTGCCACAGATCAAACACTGCAGCCTTTAATATGAATTGCATCTCAGTGTCAAGAAAACAGATATCCTGGTGGCCTGGTGGCAAGAAGTTGCACTGCAACCCCAGAGGTGCAAGTTCGAATCCACCAGATGCTCTGCTGGAGGAGGGAAAAATCTCCTGTGCCAGTGAGATCCAATTTGACGGTTCACGCACACAAAATAATAAAATAAAATAAATTAAAAAACAAAACAAAACAGACATTCTCACCGCTAGAGCAGTGGGCAACCAATCATGATATATAGATAAAAAGATTGATGTTGTCATTGATTTTATTTCAGTTGCCTCCACAATTAATACTGATGGTAACAGCAATTAGGAATCAAAAGGCATGTTGCATTGAGGAAATCTACTGCCAGAGACCTTTCCAAAAGTCCAAAGAGCAAAGATGTTGCTTTAAAGATTAAGGTGCACCTGACCCAGGCTATAGTATTTTCATTTGCTTCCTATGCATCTGAAACTTGGCCAATGAATAAAGATTATGGAAGAATTGATGTCTTTGAAATGTGGTATTGTTGAAGAATATTGAATATCCCATTGACTGCCAAAAGAAAAAGAAATCTGTCTGGATGGAAGTGCAACCATAGTACTCCTTAGACACAAGGCTGATGAAACTTTGTCTGACTTTGGGCATATTTTCAGAAGGAGCCAGTCCTTGGAAACAGACATCATTCTTGAAACAATCATGGTTAGAAAGAGAGGAAGACTCTCGACGATTGATGCAATGACTATGACTACCATAGCAGACTTGAGCATGACAGAGATCATGACGGTGGTGCAGGATGGGGAAAGGTTCAATTCTGTTGTTGATAGGGTTATTAGGAGTTGTAGTTGACTTAAGGGTACCTAATAAAAACAACAACATGATACCTTACTGGAGGGAGAAAAATGAGGGAGTGATTCTTTAAGAACAAATTGCATGAAGTATGGGGTAAGTACCATGGCTTACGCTTGGGTTAAAGATGAACTCGCTCTGATACCCTTCCTGAGTAGGTAGCTCTGTTATTTTTCACTGAATTGAAATTGCAGGTTGATTGTTATACTATAGAAATCCAACTGACTTATGTTTTGGCCTTAAGGAGAATGCTGCTGTCAGCTCTGTCTACCTTAGGAAATACTAACATTTTGGCCCATACTATAGTATTTTTGCTTACTATTTTTAATTTATTATTTATTTCTTCTTGTTTTCTTTGAGTTTAGTCTGTTCTCTTAAAACATTTTTATTATTTTACATTGTTCTCGTAACATTGAATGGTTATGTGTATTCATTTAATGGTTTAAATTTCCCTCTAAATAATGCTTTGGATGGCGTTCACATTTTCCTTAATCTTTTATGCCTTATGTGCTTTGAAAGTATGTTTTAAAGTTTTAAATACCTTTATTAGTTTCTTACTCTCTGATTATGGCCAGAAAATGGGTGCTGATACTGAGTTTTTGAAATTTCCTCATCAGTGTTCCTAAGAGATTTTATATGTATGCGTAAAACAGTAGAGCTTTGTGTGGTGTTCAATATGCTTATTTATCTGTGCATACTCATTCACACTTGTTAATGTGTTTCTCATTTCTTGGATATTTTAAATCTACTTGCTTCTGTTTCTGGGGCAATACTTAAGATCTAGCACCGTAGCATTTTTGTTAGGTGCCTTTGAGTTGTGACTGACTCATAGCTGACCCTCCAGCAGGTTTTCCAAGGCTATAAATTACGCGGGAGAGATTGCCTATCTTTCTCCTGCAGAGCTGCTGGTGAATTTGAACCATGTGCTTTATGGTGGGCAGTGCAGTTCCTTTCCACGAAGCTACTAAAGCTCCCTCTGCACTACAGCATTGTTGTTGTTGTTGTTAAGTACCGTGGAGTCACAGGCCACTCATAGTGACCCTATGAAGGAGAGTCCTCAATGCTTGGGTGTCTTTCATCCTCTCTCCAGGTTGATAGGGTTTCCAGAGGCAAGCTAATATGGAAGTGGATGCCACTCCTGCTTCCAAGCTTGTTTTAATCGGGGAGCTCCACCCCACTCTCTGTCTGCTTTGGGTAACCAGCCATTAATGCATATGACACATCAGTGTCGCAGTGTTCAGCAACCACAAGTGACCACGATACAGCAACTTGTACACCAGGGCTAGACGACCTAGAGAAATGTCTGAACAAAAACTATGAAAGACAGGCCTGAGGGCCACAGATTAAAAGTCACCCACCTTTGGCTTGGTAGCATCGCTTTCTGTCCACTGGGCCAGCTGATCTCTCCTATGTTGATGTTATTGTTGTTAAGTGCCTTTGAGTTGCAGGTGACTCATAGTGACCCTATGCACTATAGCATTAGATGTGTCAATTTATCTTTGTAGCTGTTAGTTTTTTGTTTTGTTTTCATTGATTGAAGTATCTTTTTGATACAGTCCCCTTTATGGTTATCATAGTCTTCTGGATTCCCCCCCTCCCCCCCATATTCTTCTGTTGAGTTAAACCTATTTTCATTATACCCTGATAATCTTTGAATTATTATCCTTCCTGAATCTTTGAATACAGAGAAGTTCATTCTAGTGTAATGTCATCTAAACATACTGTATCTTCTCCATTGTTTAGTCCATCAGTTTTGGTCCACATGTTTTTGGATTCCTCCTCATTGATGAAGGACTACAGGCTTCTAGCCTGACTACAGGTAGCACTCCCCGCATAGCAGCAGTCATGCGTGGGAGGGGCATCTTCACAAGTACATGTGTAGTAATAGTCACTTGTGCTTCCGTTTCTCTCTCATCTTCTATAAAGACAAATCTTATGTTCATGTCGTGCAACCCATTCAAAGAAATCTCTGCCACTAGTGAATAGATTAAGGAGAGAGAGATTAAGGAGAGGAGGGCTGAGATTGCTGTTTTGCTTGGAAAACATGCATGATTATTCTTTAGTTATATATTACCACTGCTAGGGCTAATGACTGCTCTGCTGTGTGAGCTTAGGGAGCCTGTAGTAGCTGGTGACTTGAGGGTAGCTAGTACCACCTTCCTGCTAATACACACTATGAAGACACTGAAGGGGCTGGCTCATTTTTGTTTTCGAAGAGAAATATATGAAAATACTGAGTTTTCTTAGGAAGTAGGGAGTACTGCAGGAAAAGACTATATTAATAATTTTCACTTTTATCACTGCCTTATCAGTCTTATGCCAGATTTTTTGTTAAAAGTAACCATGAAAGTTTGTACAGCAAATAATTTAAATTATTTTAACTGAAACTAAAGTGAAGGATTTTTTCCCCCTCCAACAGCTAAAAGAGCAAATTACAGTCTTAAGTAAGGAAGTTGAAGAATGTCATTTGGACCTGGAGAGACTACATCAGACACGTGAACGGGAAAATCAGGAAGGCACAAATCTCATATCTATGCTGAAGTCAGATGTAGATTCATCTCACAATGAAAGGTAAGTGTCTCTGCGCCTTGCCTCCGGTCTTGCCATCGCTGCCACCACGACTAGGCTGTCTCCCACTGTCTGCTGGATGGTGCAGATGCAGTTTTGGCTTTTCTACTGCACTCATTCCTGGGCCCTTTATTACATTTTATCATCTGAGAACATGTTGGAATCTGGAGGGCAGAGATCCTGTGCCCATGTTCTTCTTTGTCTTTAAAGAACTATTTAAAACATAGGAAAAACTACTGGATAATGTAACCAAGCTCTGATTGCATAGTCCATAGACAGTTCAGGCAGAATTTAGAAGAGGCCATGGCACCAGGGATATCACAAAGAATCCCAGAAGACTGTGCTTTGTTGACTATGCAAAGGTGTTTAATTAACTGTGTGGACAATAACAAGTTGTGACTAACATTGAGAAGAATGAGAGTCCTAGAGCACTTAATTTTGCTCATGTGAAACCTGTACCTGGACCAGAAGGCTATTTGTGTGAACAGAGCAGGAAAACACTGCATGATTTAAAATTTAGAAGGGAATATGTTAGAGTTATATTCTCTTTCCATACCTTTTCAATCTGTATGCTGAGCAAATTATCTGAGAAGTTGGACTCTATGAAGAGGAATGTGGCATCAGGATTGGAGGAAGACTCTTCAATAACCAGTATTATGTAGGTGACACAACCTTGCTTACTGAAAGTGAGGAGAGCTTGAAGCACTTGTTGCTGAAGATCAGGAGGGAATTCAGCCTTCGGTATAGATTACATCTAAATGTCAGGAAAATGAAGATTCTTACCACTGGAACAGTAGGCAGCATCATGATGGGTGGAGAGGAGATTGAAACTGTCAACAGTTTCATCTTACTTGGTTCCGCAATTAGCACCCTTAGTACCAGCAGTCAGGTAATTAGATGTGTTGTACTGCGAAGTGTGCAATTAGGAACCTTTCCAAATTATTGAGGAGTAATGATGCTTGAGGACTAAGGTTCGTCCGATTCAGGCCATGCTTTTTCCAATCACTTGCTATGCATTAGAGAGCTGGATAGTGAATAGGAATATCAGAAGAATAATTCATGCCTTTGAGCTGTGGTGTTGGGAGAATAGCATTGAACATCCATGGACGGACCAAAGAACAAACAAAAATGTCTTGGAGAGGATGCAGCTGGAATGCCCTTTGGAGTCAAGGATGTTGAGGCTTTGCCTCACATATGTTGGACGTGTTGCCTGGAGGGGCTGTTCCTTGGAGAGGGACATGATGCTAGGAAGGGTGGAGGGTCAGCGAAGGAGAGGAAGACCCTTGACTAGGTGGACTGACATGGTGACTACTGCACTGGGCTTCTTGTGTTTCATGAGGTGTAAGGATGGCCCAGGATAATATAGGGTTCAGATCCACTGTTCATAGGGTCACTATGAGTTGTACTTGACTCAAGAAAAACTAATAACAACAACAATTCTAATTATATATAGAAATCTTATTTTTGTCCAGCTCTGTTCACTTTTCTCTTTTTATGATATTGTTAAGTTAAAAAAAAAAAGATCTATTAATTCTAACCTCTTAAAGTTAACAGTTTGAATCCGCTGGCCACTTTGAGGGAAAAAGGTGGTCAGTCTCCTCTTATGAATAGCCTTGGAAACCTGAGGGATAGTTATTGTGAGTTGGAAACTACTTGATCGCAGTGTGTTCTTTAGTAATATTTCTACGAACCCAGCAATATAGTGTTGTCATTATTACTTTGCTATCTGTAATTATTAGCTCCTACTTAACATCTTTGTGCTATTATTGGTTAAGTATATTTTACAATACTGTATTTCAATCATGAGTTCTGGTGGCTTAATGGTAAGAAATTGTGCTGCTAACGCAAAAGCGTGTGGTTCAAATCCACCAGCTACTACTCCACAGGAGAAAGATAGCTGACCCCCAGTGGGTTTTCAAAGATAGCAGTGGGCCGGCTCCAGCTCAGTAGTACACAACAGCAACATATTCCTATATGTTCATAAATTGTGGATAATGTTGCAAACAATAGGAATTCCAGATCACTTAATTATGCTAATGAGGAACTTTTAAATATGCAATAACAAAGTAACAATAGTTTGAACAGTTTGTATAGTTGTTAGTTGCCATCAGGTTGAGTATGACTCATAGTAACCCTGTGAACAACACCTCTGAACTTTGTCCAATCCTATACCATCCTCACTATCTTTGATGTACTTGAGTCCAGTATTTTAGTTAGTATCAATCCAACTCCCTTCTTCTTCTCTTTTTCTGACCCTCCAGTTTTCCAAAGCCGATGTCCTCTTTCGAGGACTGGCATCTCCGAAAAACATGTCTAAAGAGTACTAGACAAAGCTTCACCATCCTCACCTTTCAGGAGCACCCTGGTTGTACTTTCTCCAAAACATACTTGTTTATTCTCTTGGCTACTAGTAGGATAATTCAGTACTGTACCTCAACATCACGATTCACACATTGAGTCTTCTTTTAAAGATGCATGAAAAGACCATGGCTTGAATCAAGTACATCTTGGGTTTTAACATCAGCGAACTTTCCCAGGGCAATATGTCTCTTGATCTTTTGACTACTGGTATCGAGGTTTTGGTTGTAGATCCAAGCAAGTTAAAATCATTAGAAGCTTCATATTTTCTCTGTCATGATGTTGCCTATTGGCCCAGTGGTGAGGATTTTTGTCTTCTTGATTTTGAGATGCAGTCCTTATCGAAGGCTGCAGCAATATTATGTCATCTGTATTATGCAGATTGTTGATGAGTCTTCCTTCAATGCTGATGCCACATTTCTCTTCATAAAAAGTTCACCCTCTCAGATTTTTTGCTCACTGTGTAGATTGGATAAATATGGAGAAAGGATACAGCCCTGATATACCTGTCTTGATTTTAAGCCATGCAGAGTTCTCTGTTTTCACAGCTGCCTCTTAGTCAAGGTATAGACTTCACATGAGCACAATTTCATGTTCTAGGATTCCCATTTTTCTAAATATTAGCCATAATTTGTTATGATCCAGAAAGACGTGCATTGAGGTTTTGTTCTTTCAGCATATCTCTTCAGTCTGTACATTGAACCAATCTGAGAAGCTAGATTTTATGAAGGATGTAGCATCAAAATTAAAGCAAAACTCATTAACCTGTAGTATATATATAACACAACCTTGTTTGCAGAAAACAAAGAAGACTGTAACCTTCAATATGGATTACTCCTTAACAGGGTGTTGAGATGAATGGGAAAGGGAGCCCACTTCAACACTTTACTGGTGGTCTTGAGTTGAAGCTGTATGCCTTCTTGTTCAGTTTGAAGATATTTTCATGACACTTTCTGCCCTCTAGACTGCAAAGTATTTGCATTCATGAGTCCAGTGGGAGTGGCCGGCTGAACTCTGAGGCTTCATCCTCCTTCACTTCCTTAACTGGCAGTTATTTTTCCCTGTTGTCTCTGGAACTGGGCTCAGGATTCAGGTTCTGGAATAAGACTCAGTGTTCAGGTTACCTATAGGAAAGGGAGCAAACCTAGAGAGAAAAACTTGTGAGTTACAAAGAAAAGGGCTTTGGAAGTGTTAGTTTACAGGTGTACTGGAGGAGGAGATGGAGGAAAGTGGGTGACTCTCCCCAGTGGCTGGATGCCCTCTGCCTCCCCCAACCCCACCAAGCTCTTCTGAGGTCTGGATTTTGCCCCTCACCACCCTGCTAGTACGACTGAAACAGAACCAGCACTTCTGGTTCTAGTGCCACCATTATTGCCACTTGTCCTTTCCTCCAAGAGGTCTAATTGTAACTTGAAGTAGATATTATTACTTTCCCCTTCCACAAAAGGAGAAGGGGCTTCAAGGGTGGTTAATAGACTTGCTCAAGGTTGAAAAATAATAAAGGCAGTAAAACTAAAGTGGTCTGAAGGCCAATTCTGAGGCAGCAAGTTCCACACGTTGCTTGGGTCGACCATATTTTGTCTTCCTCTGTAAGCAAAATCTTCCTGAAGATTATTTCTTTTATTTTTTTTTTTTAGATTATTTCTTTTAAAACTTGTTTGAAAAGTTCTTCTACATTTTATATAAAAAGTTTTTATTAAGTGAACCAGTATTAAAAGTATAAAAATAATCTAGGATATCATCCATGAAGAAAGCAAAAGATCATTACTAAAACAGGAGGAAAACACCCTCAAAATGGATGCTAGAAGAGATTCTGAAGATTGCACTGGGATGTCAAGAAGCCAAA